ATTTAATGAGAAAGCTATATGAACTCATTCTGAACAAAAATTTCACGCGCATACACCCAAGAAGGAAGCTGAGGGTTTTTTTCTCTGAGAAATCTGAGGTTACAGGCAATAATTTATGGAAGGATAATCTTCTACGAGCTCGGAATTGGACAACCCTCAATAAGAAGAAACCTGAATATGATTACAACCATCTAACCAGATGAATTATAGATTGTACAGAAAAAAAACAACCTTAGACATCATGAAGAACTAAACCCTAGAAAGACTAGCTATAATCTTCCCTTTAAAACCAATGATCTCTCTACGGCCAACTAATGAATACAAATTACAATGATGGGATCTGTACAAGGAGACGGACCGGGTCAACGCTGCTGTTCTACAAATAATTATACCAGACTCCCCCACAGTTCAAAACAGGGGATCTCTGCGTAAAGGCAATGAGAGCTAGCCTGGTCATGAACTCCCACGAGACTGAAATAGGCGTGTGGATTCGCCAAAGAGAATGTTTTATTGATCACTCATCCCACAAACCATTGTATACATTATGCCTGGTCTTGAGCCAATGCAACATCTCCTTGTCCAAAGGACACTTATCTATCACAGCGTCCAACATCGGACTCCCAATGAATCTTCGATCATTCTTGAACACCCATATCCGGTCCTTGGGCCACGGTCTCTGAGGTTGTTTCTCCTATTAAACAAAATATGTTTTAAATATTTCAGAATTCAGATACGTACACTGATTCTTATTGTACTAGAAGCAAATTAAGCACATTACTAGCTCATAAGTAGTTTCAGATTGGAGCTTCAATGTTGATAATTCTTTATGGTGCCATTCATGTCAAGTAAACCATTGTCCAGGGGAACTATTGAATGATATAAAAAAATACCTATATTTCTATTTGATGAATGATAAGCGTATTAACTGATGGTGCAGATTTTTATGATGATCAACCTTTCTTACAAGTAAGCGAATAGAATTCTATATTTGAATTTTCTTGTTGTTCTAAATAATTCTAGGTAGTATTTGATGAAATACTAAATATGCCTTTTAACGTACACCGAAACACACTTGAAACAAGCGCTAATACTTAAGTCAAACTACTTTCTATTGAGATACTTTTAGAATGGAAAATGATTTAAGGACCCAAAATATGAGACAAAGGGAGGGGACATGTGAGGTGTCCCCTCCCTATTGCATAATGAGTTGGCCATGCTAACTCATGCCAACTCATTATGCAATAGGGAGGGGACACCTCACCTGTCCCCTCCCTTGGTCCCATATTTTGGGTCCCCGCAGCAGCACTCTTTTAGAATCATCTATCTAACAAATTGAAACCAGTTTTACTAAAGGACAAGGTATTTTAACCATCCTTTTTGCAAATTCAACTATAATCATAAATAAAAAAATTGAGACGGACTCACCATTCTGGCCATCATGAATCTCAACGTTCTTGAATCATAGACGCGTTCATGCACTGGCTTCTGAGACTTCCCATAAAAGGAGGAAACATCGGGGAGTGACAAGCAACCCTTCCTAGCTCTTGTTAATCTACAATCAGGGTCTGCATTGGTCTGACTATGCCAATAAATGAGCTGGCCTAAACAATAGTTTTCGCCGTAAGTCTTGCAATATTCTTGGAAGCCTGGGCCCATCTTATCAGCATACTTGGGACCAAGGTCGAGAGGACTAATGTAAACAGGGGGAGATGTAACAGTCTTGTACTCCTGTACGTAAAAGTTAGTCAAAATTGAGTGTAAAGGGAAAATACTACTGCCTTAACTATTCTAGCATTCAATCCAGTTCTGCATGAAATTTTGCACAGAAGCCAACGTGTGAAAGGTCTTGGAAATTAAAACCTTTTAAGATGGAAGAGTATAATTGTTTATAAAAGATGGTAGTGGAGAAACAATTCTATGAAAAACATCATTATCAACTAAGTAATAACATCACAATGCAATGATCAGGTAAGTGACGTTTGGATAAGTATTTCACTTGTGCAAGCAGTAGAATATTTATTTTACAATCAAATTATGTACTAACCAAAGGTTTATAGCAATTATAAATTATGTCAAAGAAGAATCAGAAGAACAAATCGCCAGGAGAAAACTCAACTATATTTCCAACAGAAAATCCAGCTATACAAGAACAAAGCTCTCTAACTTAAATATTTGGTTTTAACTCCATGAAATCCTTTTTAGCAATAGCTCCCAAAAGCCATGACCCTGCCTAAATAGAAACTAGTATCTAAATTTTTTATGCACCCATGCCGACTATAGTACGTGCTACTTTAGTATATTTGGCATAGTTAACTTACCCTGATTTTGTAAAAGCATTTCGTGTAGGCATATATATGGATCAAGTCAGCAGCGGCATCATGCCGGCACTTTGATGTACATGGAAGGTTTCTCAGCTCATCCCTCAACCTGAAGACAAAGAAGAAAACAAATCTAAGTAGGGAAGCTAAAGAAAGCAGGCGTAAATATCCACGGGCCATGAAGAACCCCACCCAATTGGGTATCACTACCCATTACTCTGAAATGTCATTAAGCAGCAGGATCTCACCATAATAAAGACTTGCGTAATTCACTGTGGCCAGTGTCAGAATCTGATGGATCATGGGCACGAATCTTGGACTTTAGATCATTTAGTAGGTTCACTTCCATATGAGGGGCCATCGACTGAAGAAGCTCCTCTACCAGTGAGCCCTTGCCTTTCCAAAGAACAAAAACTAAGTCTTCAGAACTGAGCTTCTCTAATGGTGGTGGAGCTTGCTTAGGGTCCCCGAATACACGCCTCATGACATACCTTACCTGCACCATGTGTTCAGAAACAGTTTATGCAAACAAATTGCTAAAGGGTAAAATCAAAATCAAAGTAACTACTCTAATCTTCCACAAATATATCAGAGGCAACTGAAAAAGTGATGAAAAAATGATACAATATATTGTTTCAATCATAACATTCTTATCTAAAATTTAAAACTTGAATTTTCTGAAATATGGCTAACTATACATTTGAAGCCAAAAAATAACCAGGATGATAACAGCTCTCACACCAAACCTGAGCATCAGCCAAAATAAATTTGTCCGAAATTCTACTTGACATATAATTGGAGGTTTACTTTTGTTTCATGTTAGTTTGCTGGCTTATAAATGTACACCATTATATTATTTATTTATTTTCTTTAGTTGAATCAAATGACTGACATTTGATAATAGCCTGTGATTGATGATTGTTGGGTGTGAAGCTTCCAACAGAAGCCACCATAGGGGGTCCCCCATCTATCTTTTCCCTTCCTTAATAAATGATCAAAAAATACCCTAATTGCCACACCTCCCAAGGAAGGCCTACCAAATCCATTCACCACGCCACATTATAGTGTGAAGCAATCCTACCCCAGGCCTGTCCTGTACTCCAACCAAGGTCAGTAAAATATTTGATCCACACAGTTCTTGCCCATTTTGTTCCATGTCCAAGTCAATGGACCCCAGATTCAAAGCAACTGACAGTAAAAAAAAGGGCACGTCCAAATTCCAATCATAAAAAATTGCAAAAATGACTTAAAGGTATCTGCAGTCTATGCTGTTGCTTCCCTTATAGTTATGACAACATGCAGGTATCATGAATTTAGCTTTAGCATAGAGATAGCCCACTTCTATGATAATTCTAGGCAATCCAATACAGAAATATAAAAGATGAGGCAAAGAGAGAAAAAACACCTTGTCAAGAGTAAGTGCCATATTCTGAAGCCTTGAATTGTATACACCCTCAGCCTTAACACATTTCAAAGAGAAGTTAGTTCTTCAAGATTCTAAGAAGGTATATAATGATATTCAGAGGGAGTTTGCAAAGACAGCAAATACCTGCACTTCTGATTCACTTCTTTCATCCTCAATACAAATTTCTGCAAGATATTTCCTCTTTTCTTCCATGTTATGCTTTAGAATCGCCTCAGGAAGCTTTGTTCTCTCCAAATTTATAAACCTCACCTTCATTTGTTTTAATCATTGATCATCAGCATGCTAGTAAATACATAACAATAAAGAATAAAGAATTAAGAAAAGAGTTTGAACAACTACCAGACGGGCTGAGTAGGCAACCAGCCAATCAGGAAGTCCAGAAAGCAAACACGTGCCGAGGCCAGCCTTTCCCAAGTCAATATAGTCCTCTTCTGAAACGAAGTTGGCTTCACAAGCCTCCAGCATCAGTTTATGACGGTCCAATATCCCATGACACTCCTTCAACACCTGAGATATAATTATAATAATAATCAGGAACTAAGAGAACGAGGTGAGGGCACAAATAATAGTAGACTGCAGGGATAAAAGAGCAATATTGCAAGGAAGGAGATTATAATCACCAACACCATAAAATATTGTGTGGCACAAGCGAGTCAAACACCTCAAAACTTTTTTAGTCACGGCAAGATAATTAGTAGCAAGCCCAAAGTATAATTCAGAAATATAAAAAATACAAAAGGAAAGGATATATTAGCATTAGCAAATCTACCTTATGAAATGCATCTTCACCAGTCAAGTTCAGATAGCTGCCCCTGCAAATTTGGCTGCCACATAAACAAACTGATGCCTCATACTCTTCCTTACTCTGCAGTTACCAGACAACGAAATATTAGCAAACAATTTATCTTCTTCAGCAAGTTAAAACTTAAAAATGACTTGCACAAGAGCCGCACCTCTGTTACAGAGTTATAATCAAAAGTGACCTCTTCACCATAGCCAATAGGTCGTACAGTATAAATTCCAATCTGGTACTGACCATCAACAGCCGTTACTCTATTGAAAAATAAAAAGGGAAATTGATTAAGATTAAAGGAGTAAACTTAGATTAACAAAACACTTTTGTGAATAATATACAATGAAGTCATAATCAGCTCATGATGATTTGAAATGAAAACGATGGTAAGTTAACATTTTAATAATCAAGTAAAATTAAGTAAAATGGATGAAGCAACGAGGATGTTCTGTGATTCAGGGGGAACATGCTTTGCAGCTCTCTACCTAGATCGCTATACCTTCAATTGAATCTAAAGTTTCACATAACATAATAGTATCTTATTTCTCCTGATATTGAGAATATTTCTAACAGCCAAAGGAAAGAAAGAAAGAAAAGAGTGCTAAAAATTATCTGAGAAAACTCTATAAGATTATGCACATAGGAGAACTATCAAAAAATCAAGTGGACACGGCAGAATAGCAAATGGCACCTTCAGGAGGAAGAAATAAGTTCCTCATCATCATTTTATAAAATCCACTTTTTCAAAGAATTGTTGGTCAAGTTCACACTTCTCGTTGCCCAATCCATAAAAACATTGATTAACCCCATTTAATTGATAAATAAAAACAATTTTTTTACACCATAAAAATAGATAGCTTGTCCACAGATCTTACTGCTAAAACAAAAGAGAAATAATAGAGCTTATGACTGACTGACAATGTTGATTCAATATTCATGCAACTCTACCATCCATCTCAGACCTACATGAAGAAATTCAGCACGCATCATTCTTCAGGAGATGAAGGGTGGACTAAAGAAGTCTGAACCACATTTTTAAAATTCAAAATCAATTTCCTTTAAAAAGCTTTTAAAAAAACAACAATTGCATTGATAAATCCAGTGATATCTCAAGGAACATAGAAATGCAAGCTAATGAATCCAATGGCAAAGACGAGAAAAAAAGAATATTATAGATGGCATGTACTGATGTTGTGTTGAGCATTTACTAGATACAAATTGAAAATATCAAATGCTAAAATTACATTTTCTGAAGTGCTTACTGAAATGCTAGAAACAGAACTACAATATAAAAATATATGAAAAAATAATATATTCTAGATTCTCCTGCCAATCAACAGTTCCAAAGTATTAGTATGAAAACAGAGAGCAAGTGAAAGCATCATAGTGCTTTTGCAACACAATTGATTAAGCCATTCAAAATGGAAGTTGAATCCCTCCTCAGAAAGAAGAGAGGAAGAGTATGCAGCTTACTTTGCTTCACAATTTGGTCGGCAAGAGTGACAGATTCTGCTTGCATAGTTTGCCTTGTGCATAGCATCAACAACAACGAGATCATATCCATCACGGTCACCCTATTACACAAAAATATGGCATGAGTTAAGCATATCATTATAAGTTCGCAGCACATAATAATTTGAGATGGTTGTAACCAAGAGAAGATTAATGCTCCAAGGACCCAAAATATGGGACCAATGGGTGGGACAGGTGATGTGTCCATTCCCTACTGGATAATGAGTTGACCATGTCAACTCATTGCCAACTCATTATCCAATAAGGGAGGGACACATCACTAGTCCCACCCCTTGGTCCCATATTTTGGGTCCCCGTTGCAGCGCTCCCAAGAGAAATCACCTTTGGCCTTTCAAGATAAATGTTGTAGAATTCAGGTGCTGGATCTTGGTTATTCTTTTGCAAAGATCTAATTCCATCCTGCTTTTCAAACCATTTCCACGCTGGATAAACCTAACAATGTAAAGAAAATAGAAAATTAAAGGGTCCACTTCAAGATCCATGGCCCAATAAACTATGAAGATATAGTTCTGAAAAATCTACTAAGCAGTGGGAAATTAATAGACTAGCAAATAAAAGCAGTGGATAAGAGGTGCTTAAGAAGTGTTGTATGATCACTCAGGGTTATGAGACCTAGCAGACAAATATCAGATAACATACCGAGGCTTATGTTTAATGTATAGCATGTTTTCACTTTTCAGCAACAAAGGTAATGCATAAATATGAGAGCATTAGAGCTTGCAAACACCAAATAAGCAGAACTTGGTCATAAAGGTGTTTGCACAAGTAGAAGATTCATATTTGGAAACAAAGCCCTTAAATATCTACTTTGAACCAAGTAACCACGGGTGAACTTTTTAACCTATTTTTGTAGTATCACGTTAACTAGCATGTAATTCTACAGAACTGAGTCCATTACCTATTAGATCTTCACAAAAAAGGAGAAGGTAACATATCTAATTATGCACATAGGAGAACTATCAAAAAATCAAGTGGACACGGCAGAATAGCAAATGGCACCTTCAGGAGGAAGAAATAAGTTCCTCATCATCATTTTATAAAATCCACTTTTTCAAAGAATTGTTGGTCAAGTTCACACTTCTCGTTGCCCAATCCATAAAAACATTGATTAACCCCATTTAATTGATAAATAAAAACAATTTTTTTACACCATAAAAATAGATAGCTTGTCCACAGATCTTACTGCTAAAACAAAAGAGAAATAATAGAGCTTATGACTGACTGACAATGTTGATTCAATATTCATGCAACTCTACCATCCATCTCAGACCTACATGAAGAAATTCAGCACGCATCATTCTTCAGGAGATGAAGGGTGGACTAAAGAAGTCTGAACCACATTTTTAAAATTCAAAATCAATTTCCTTTAAAAAGCTTTTAAAAAAACAACAATTGCATTGATAAATCCAGTGATATCTCAAGGAACATAGAAATGCAAGCTAATGAATCCAATGGCAAAGACGAGAAAAAAAGAATATTATAGATGGCATGTACTGATGTTGTGTTGAGCATTTACTAGATACAAATTGAAAATATCAAATGCTAAAATTACATTTTCTGAAGTGCTTACTGAAATGCTAGAAACAGAACTACAATATAAAAATATATGAAAAAATAATATATTCTAGATTCTCCTGCCAATCAACAGTTCCAAAGTATTAGTATGAAAACAGAGAGCAAGTGAAAGCATCATAGTGCTTTTGCAACACAATTGATTAAGCCATTCAAAATGGAAGTTGAATCCCTCCTCAGAAAGAAGAGAGGAAGAGTATGCAGCTTACTTTGCTTCACAATTTGGTCGGCAAGAGTGACAGATTCTGCTTGCATAGTTTGCCTTGTGCATAGCATCAACAACAACGAGATCATATCCATCACGGTCACCCTATTACACAAAAATATGGCATGAGTTAAGCATATCATTATAAGTTCGCAGCACATAATAATTTGAGATGGTTGTAACCAAGAGAAGATTAATGCTCCAAGGACCCAAAATATGGGACCAATGGGTGGGACAGGTGATGTGTCCATTCCCTACTGGATAATGAGTTGACCATGTCAACTCATTGCCAACTCATTATCCAATAAGGGAGGGACACATCACTAGTCCCACCCCTTGGTCCCATATTTTGGGTCCCCGTTGCAGCGCTCCCAAGAGAAATCACCTTTGGCCTTTCAAGATAAATGTTGTAGAATTCAGGTGCTGGATCTTGGTTATTCTTTTGCAAAGATCTAATTCCATCCTGCTTTTCAAACCATTTCCACGCTGGATAAACCTAACAATGTAAAGAAAATAGAAAATTAAAGGGTCCACTTCAAGATCCATGGCCCAATAAACTATGAAGATATAGTTCTGAAAAATCTACTAAGCAGTGGGAAATTAATAGACTAGCAAATAAAAGCAGTGGATAAGAGGTGCTTAAGAAGTGTTGTATGATCACTCAGGGTTATGAGACCTAGCAGACAAATATCAGATAACATACCGAGGCTTATGTTTAATGTATAGCATGTTTTCACTTTTCAGCAACAAAGGTAATGCATAAATATGAGAGCATTAGAGCTTGCAAACACCAAATAAGCAGAACTTGGTCATAAAGGTGTTTGCACAAGTAGAAGATTCATATTTGGAAACAAAGCCCTTAAATATCTACTTTGAACCAAGTAACCACGGGTGAACTTTTTAACCTATTTTTGTAGTATCACGTTAACTAGCATGTAATTCTACAGAACTGAGTCCATTACCTATTAGATCTTCACAAAAAAGGAGAAGGTAACATATCTAAATTCTCACTGTCAATGATTAATGAGAATATGGCAAATTTATTTCAGATGGCTAGAAATGAATAGGTATAATTATAAATACCTCTCCCAAGAACTCAACAACAAAATCATCTGTACCAAAGCCACCTTCTTTGTTGCAAACGACTCCAAGCCCCTAATACAAAGTGCAACAAAGAAGAAGGGTCAGCAAACTTCAAATAGATGGATGAGATGATTAGCAGGCATGAGCAGTCCTGTTAGATATGTTTACAGTGAAAATGCACCTTTCTATAAGCAACATAATTGTCATCAGGACGACTCTGCATAGCTTTCAAGATAGACTGACACAATCTCATAATGCGTCTATCACCCTCATCCTCCGCATTCTTCAGGACTTCTTCGACAACAGGACGTAAACGATATACCATAGGAGTGTTTCCAGAACCAGTAAAGTGCCGAACTTGCTTGTTCAAAGCACGCAAAAGCACCTTACAAAGAATTAATAAATGAAAAACTTCAATCATGTGACAAGCAAACAAATTAAGCAAAAAAAAAGAGAGAAGGACAACTATTCCTTCAAATACCTCTTCAATGAACTTATGTTTATCCCCAAGCAGCCATTCTGGTTCCTCTGGCATAGAGTCTAGAAGAAGATTATGCGTGTAAGGGTCTATCCCATACACTTCTTGTTCCAAGACTTCTACTCCAAGCAATTTTCTAGGTTTGTATTCCTTCACCTCAGGGATTTCCATATCAGATTCCTCCAGACCACTTTTTTGTGCAAGCAATTTTTCAGAATAATCATCAGGCAAAGCAACCCGCATCTTCCGCTTTACTTCGTCCTCATCTGCTATGACAAGATAACTGTCAATGACCTCATACTTCCTAGTGACAGGGGGAACAAGGCTTGCTTTTGTCATGCGAGCACCCCATTCACGATCGTCACTAATAGAATCGGAGGAGTCATCCACCATGGAATACATATTTCCTTTAATGTCCCCTGCTCCACTTCCTGAACGAATGTCCAAGTCACTTTCGGTATCCGACGCAGTAGTCTCACCTTCACCTCTATCATCTTCTTCCCAAAAATCATTTTCATGGTCGTCAGATGTCTCACTATCAGAACACACTTGTCTTTTCTTCAGTTTCGACAGACTCTTCTTAATTTCGCGGTCAAGTGAATCTGTTCCACCATTGAAATAGGAAGTGCTGTTGGTCCTATTCATGCCCTTCTTTTCTAACACTTTGTTTTGCTTCTTTTTGTATCTGGGCGTGGATGAATAAAATCCAGATTCTGAACTACTCTTGACCATCTCGTCTCTTTCATTTGGTAGTTCTGGACTCCCCTCCAAGTTCTTAGCCAACCGGATGAATAACATAATGATGTGCTTCATCTCTTTAGCATTGCCGCGGTTTTTTGCTCTGCATTAGTATGTAATTTGTCAAATTAACATCAAAATAATATAGTTTGATAAACCTAGAAATGCTGTGCGCATGAGATAAAAGATCATCCATACAAATGATGAAAACATTAAAAAGGCTAAGTCAACCAAAATATGACACTGCTCTGCATTAGTATGTCATTCAACATGTAACACCCAAATATAGCAAACTATATTTTGATAAACCGAGATCATCCACTCAAATGAAAAATATTAAAAAAGACACTAAAATGGTCAAGTCTAACGGACAGCTTTAAACATATTCAAATAATTCGACTATATATACGAAGTATTTGGGTCATGATTAGGGAAAAGCCCGCGTTGATGCAGGCGCTCTTATCCCTGTGGATAGGAAGTTCCACTTGGAAATTGTGGCCTCCAGGTCAAAGTTTAAGCCATAAGTCAGTAATAAGATTGTAGAAATAAACTGTTCTCACTTAATTGCATCTCGGCACATCCGGCTGATGTCGTCCTTGACAGAACCCAAGCCATGACGAATGTAATAACCATTTCTCATCCTATCTTCAATTTGAGCAACCTGGGGAATGAAAAACAAAGCTGATGAGGGCACACAGAAATATAGAATGTTCACTGAAAGAATATATGAAATTATCTCCAGAAAAGAAATGGAAAAATGTAGTACTTTAGTAATGAAAAATTCAAATGTGTTCTCCTTCATGATGTCCTTCAAACTGACCGCAATAAACTTTTCCATCTTTCTGTATCCATTCTCAGATTTCCTATGCAACCACCGCTTCATCTGTGCATCTCTAGACATAACTTCTGAGGATTTTCGAGCATCAAATGGCTTAGCTCGCTTGTAAACACCTTGCCTGAATGGATGACTAGAAGAATCCTTTCGATCCCCCAACGTAGACTCATCATTAGTTATCTGCTTGAGACTCTTTATTTTTGGATATGATTCCTCAGAATTCATGTAGTCGTATAAAGAACTCTTTCTCCACTTCACATTCTGAAATTTGGGCAGTAGTTCTTTGAACTGACTGCATCCTCGGATGTCAAGTGAACATATGCAAGGAAAAAGGTGGAGTATTTCTTCAAGTACAGAAGCACTAACATTTGAGCAGCCAGTTAATGTAAGAGAAATTAACCTTTTCCTGTCATAACCATCCTGCAGAGTGGAATTAATGAACATCTGTATTAGATTGAAGTAAGCGGTTTAAAGAACAGTAGAAAAGAAAAACCTGAGAAGCTAACCAACCATGATATTTCGAAACATAGAATCAGTACAGATGGGACCAACAGATGACAGATCAACTTGAGTGCATAAATTCCTGTAGAACTTGGCTGCCAAATTCCAGCGTTTACAAGTAGCAGCAGAAGAAACGAGTGACTTCATGTCAGACCGAATAAAGTGGAAGACCCTTGCTAGTATATGACCATTTAATAGACCCCAGTTCTTGTTCCCTACGTCAGGACTTGCAGAATTACCATCAACAAAGGTAACTTCACCACATAGGTCATCAAAGGAAGGATCACCCTTCCCTTCCATTTCGGAATCTCCATCACTCTCATCAAACAACAAGCGAGCTCTTTTTCCAGCTCGATAATTGTCATCTGTATCAAGATGCAGAAGTAAAATATCACTAAAAGGCACAGAGAAAAAAAAACACACTGAAGAAAGCACTGGCCAGCATTCATGCACAAAAGTTTCCTGGAGAGTTGATAACAATTGAAACTCATGAAAAGTTCTCAAGTCAAACCCAACTCCATTACAATCCAACCACATGAAGAAAAATGGTCAAAAGAAACACCTGTTTTTTATATGTTGCATGCAAGTATCTAAAAAATCATTGAAAAAAAAGAAATCCACCGAGCTTCAAAGCTTTGATGTGAAAACAAGTTGACAGACAAGAAATTAAGTATCTGAACTAGAAAGTTTTGAAAGTCTAAAGAGAAAACTTAACTTTCAAAATAAACACCAATTCTTGAAATGACATCACAGAAGCTGAGAACTCAACTTATTGAACATGCTGGGCCAAAGTAGCAGACTTTTTGACCCTTACCCTTCCAGTCAGGGATGTACTCAACTGGGCCAATCCAAAAGGCTCAAGGGATGAAATGAAAAGGAATCCAGGCCCACTTAAAATGTTAAAAAAGGCCCGGACTTCAACAATCAAGTCCAATTTCAAGCCTCGATTGGGCTGACCCATGTTATATTTGGGGGCTGGAAACAGTATAATGGGCCCAGTAGACCCTGACCCACAAAAAAAAAGGTAAATAAGTAGTAGCGGGCTAGGCCTTTGGTCAAAAAAGGAAAAAGAAAAAAGAGGAAAGAAATATGATGTCATAAAACAGCGGAAAATATAGTTTCCGTAGTAAACAATTAACACAAGGCCACTTGGACATTAATTTTGAAACAAAGCATAGATCATGCATTTCCTCGAGAAAAAAAAGTAATAAAAAAATAGAGAGAGAGAGAGAGAGGGAGGGATCGAGGGAGGGAAAGCACAAGAAACCACTTATTTGAATGAACATTCGCATTTCACGGCAAAGATGGAAAAAGAAAAAGACATGCCACACTAATAATGGATATCATACCTGATTTCAAACCATGAGCAAGAATGCCAGAACTCTTAGTGATTGAGGAATTAAATGCAAAGTGTTTATCCATTTCCAGCTTCGCCTGTTTTTCAGTAATCCATGGATCCAGAACCTCATTTATAGATGCAGCGAATTCTCGGTTTTTGTAGGATTTCATGACAAGCTCATGCAGCTTACCACGCATGTAGCCAATAAATTGAGGGTGCAAGTCATGGAAAGAACAAGATGACCTGGCCATCTGGTCGGAAGCAGCAGTAGAATCACCATCTCTGTGCACCACTTCCTCTCTTGAATTGGCAGCTTCAGACACAGCAACTGGAATCCATGTATTATCAACCTTCCTAAATACACTGCTATTTTGCATAATAGTACCTCTAGCAGCTAAATGTTGCAACTCTGAATAAGATGATGGACCATGTTCATGGCCGGCACCATCCAGATAATACCAATCACCAAGATCTAATGCCAGTTCATCAACAGTACAAACATGATCTTTGGGTATGCTAAGGACGGTCCTGCACTTGTGGAGACTTTGAAAGTCGAGTTCAGAAGACTTCTTCGAATGAGAAGAAGACCCCTCTACAGATGAACTCCTATAGCTGTGTGACCTAACAGACCTTTGGCTGTGTCGATCTCCCTTCAGTTTTGAGTGAGATTCAACTGAACCGTGATCCCTAACTACGCAGGCATTTATCCGAACCACTGGGAGGCTCGTTCCTTTTACACCACGAGGAATTGGAGGCTTCAATTGGCGTGAAGCTGTGTTTCTATCGATGTCATTGCTAGTATCGCTGTTGTCTTCTGACAAAGAGAAGGCCCAAGGTGGTAGTTCAAGCTTTCTAGTTCGTGAAGGATAGTACAAATCATCCCTTCGGTGCCATCGAGGATCGTCATCCCCACACTTCGGCATTTGACAAAGAGGGTACCCATGATTGAGGACAATCTTTTTCTTTGAAGATCTATCATGACCAGATTCGTCATTTCTCTTCCAATCACCACCCTTGCAAGACCACCTGCCAGAAAACCAATCACTAGAAGTGCTGTTGAGAATGGCATATTCCTCAAGAGAGGCAACAGGTCGGATTTCATTAATTTCTCTTGGGAAGCCTTCATGAGCTCTACTAAGTCCCTCATCTCTTAGATTCCCCGTAGACTCCAGATTTCGAGGTCTTGATCTTGTAAAATCTGCACAATCACAAGAAGTTGTATTCAGATAATCAAGAAAAATTATCTAACGGTTTAACAGAATAATACAGACACCAAGGAGATGCATGAAATCATGCCTATCAGACGAAGCATCCAAAATGGGTTGTGTTAAATATAAATTTGGAATCTTTGCTTCATAAAGCTTTATCAGCCATAATGTGGAACGTTTACATTTCCTTCGCAGAACTGTTGTCACTATTAGGATTTTCCTCTTTCCTGCAA